ACAATATAATATTATACTCGTATATCGGACGACATCACAAATATTAGGATATGCGCCATACGGTGCCGGTGAATACCGTTTTAATCGAAAATCTACGATGTTTGTTTTAAGCCCAAGCTATAATTTTGAATGTCAAGTTATGACCGCATTATATATATTCGTATAATAAGTACCTATATGTGTATAATATAACATACTTAAACGCCAAGCGTTCGTATTATCATCTAAGGAAATGTTCTAATGTTGAAAATAAAAAAAAAGCCGGTAAATTATATGTTCCAAGCACAGATTAATAATGATGATAAATACATACTCAAATTACGACCTCTATGATCAGCCCTGTAATACAAGTATAAATGGCGGTCATCTAAAAAATCTAAATTGATTACGTGATCCGTATATAGGTCCTGTTTGCGACAGGATAAGATTAATCAACATTTTAAGATTTGTTAATCATTATTTTATATTTTATTATAATACGACACTAATATTTTGTTGTTATTATTTAAAAAGCTATATATCTGTAATATTGTAGGCAAGTTTCCATTAAGAACATTGTTAATACAACGTTCCCATGTACCATGTATAATAATCTTTATTAGGAACAAAAATGTATACAAATTCTAGTTACATACACAATAATAATCTTAAGGAAAAATAAAATCTAAATATTTAAACGATCAAAAATCGAATTTACTGGGGAAAGAATTCAATTAGTTATACGATTAACTTAAAAATACATTTTAAAATACTCAAACATTTGTGATAAATTATAATTAATAATCTATAAAAGTAACAACCTCTAAAAATGAGCTTTTTAAATTCTAGTCCAAACCTTCCCGCATAGTCTTTATCTTTCAAATAAAAAGTAGATTATCAAAATTTGACTATTTCATAAAGTATGCAAGTTTTTCCCGCGAAGTGAATTCTTATATAAAAAATAATAACGCGTTGGTTCTGATAGGGAATGCCGCAAAATCGATTTTTAAGCATGTGATATGGCAATATTTTAATGTTTTTAAAATATTATGTCTTAAACACGATTGCAATCAATATCGTTGTTGGTCATTACGCAATCACGAGATTTTATAAATACAAAATTTGTTTGATCAAACAGTTAATAGAATTGTGCTCAGATATTAGTTTTTTAAAGTTTGATTATATTTTTCGATTCATCTGGTTTATTGATTAATATTTGGATTACTATTAATGCGTAAAAATAGAAATTGTTTTCCGAAAATGTAAAAAATGTACCTACACTTTGTTTTGTTCCAAACCAATGTACAGAAGGAAACTTAAATTTCGGGTAACGACAAAGAATGAAAATCGGTTATTTACAGTCCAAGTGGTCCATGTATATTTGTATTCAACTGGTTAGCTGTGTCAACATTACTGCATTTGTACGGGGACTTAACCAAGTAAATTACTGTCGAAAGATTTTGGCAAACAAATATTGTTGTACACTTTAATAACGCAATATGTTTTTTAGAGAATATTTTATAAAGACCGTTTTTTTAATTACGCATACTATTGTATGCGTTTGTTTTCAACTACGCGTATCTAAATAGATTATATATATTTATATATTATTATTTCAACTGATTGCTGTATAGACTAGATCAGTGGTCTTCAACCTTTTTGGACTCGCGACCCACTCTTTTAGGCCTATGTTTTTCGCGACCCACGTAAGCCTGATAAAAAAGAACAAATTGCTTATATAGAATCATACCAGTGTAATATGAAACATTTTACTTGATATCCATTATGATTATAATATAATAATATTATTATTATTTTTATACCTTATATAATTTTATAAATCTAATTTTTATTAAAAAAAAAGACTTGTCACGACCCACCGGTTGAAGACCACTGGACTAGATAATGCAATATAAACAGATTTCGTGATGAAAAATGTAATCTAATTTCGACACTGTACTTAGTTGCCATTGAAATATTTATATTTTTTTTTCATTTTGTTGTTTTAAGTTGAAATTAACAAAAATATTTAATTAAAAGTTCGTTTTTATTTGAAAACATGTATATAGTACATTCTGCTAATTTTTTCACCGTGAAAACTACAAATTATATAAGTATAGGAATAATCTTCACTTTGGTTTTTGATTTTATTAATTCCGGTAAAATCAATAAAAACTATAATTTATATAATAAACATTGCTCGTGTCCCACACATTTTTGAGAGCCAATTTAGATCTTGCGAAAATTTAATGACGACATTAAGGTTATTCGTTTCCACCAAATGTGTATCGTTAACCTTTTATACCAGTACATGTTTTTGTTTTCGTTGTAAATATATCTTGTTTTTTTCTACAAATAACTATTTTTAGAATTCTACCAAATGAGATATTAGCTGATCTTATGTTTCCAACAAAACAATTTCTATACTATTACTCGTAAAACTTAAAAGCTTATACTTAGTTATACAGTTATATGTAACAAGTTTATTTAAAATACTTGTTATCTAAAATATACTGAATTATTGTATAATATTATCTAGTTTAATAAATACTATACATTTTTTTATACTTAATAAGCTTATGGGATATATAATTAAAATTAGTTTTTCATACTAAACGAATAATTTATTAAGCAATAATAAGTATACCCTGGACCGGTACTGTAGTATCGAATTTGAAATCGTAAATCAGTCAAATACATGTATGTATTACTAACCAGTTAGTTGTATATATTATATAACTATTTTTTATTGTCTTTATTTATTTGACTGATTCACGACTTCGGTACTAGTGAAAAGTTGCCTAATATTCTTACTTATTATGTAAAAACAATTTTATTAAAATGTTTAGTAAACTGTTTTTTAAATATTTTATTGTATTTTAAATTAACTTTCTTTGTAACAGCTTTTAAATGTATAGCTTTTTATTTTATGTATTTTACAATATGGATATTGTTTCCTCGAAAAATGAAATCAGTCAATACCTTTTTTGGTGGAAACATGTTACGCTCATAACGACGGCAGGTGCACACAATATAACTGTCTAGGTTTGGGCTTTATGACCTAAATCTCAATGATTGTATTGTGTAGTGTTAGCAGTAGTATAAATATTAACGTTCGGTACAATTGCACAAACATAAATCTTGCAAAGATAAATCTATTTTGAAGCATCGAATAACGACACCAAAAAGCAATACAAATTTAAACTGGATAATTACTATTAAGGTCACAAGGTTACCGAGTACCAAAAATATACATCTCAATAATTTTTAGATTGCCAATACTTCTAAGCCACTGTTAACTTTCAAAATAAATTATACTGGAATGATTTAAAATTAATAATATTGTTATACAGCGATGGACTCGTGTATACATCATCAATCATGTGTATCGGTTATTGATTCTAAATAATATTATGATCAATAACAAATTCTTTTAGATTTAATTTGAAATTATTGATTTTAGAATTATGAAAATTATATGTACTTGTGGCTAATACCAACCGACAACTTAGTAAAATGTACAGTGATATAATAATTATAACTGTTTTAACACTTTATTTTTGTTTTAAAATAAATCTTTTACCGGTAGTTCATAAAGTCACACTCCATTATTTAATTTTCTGTTTTTATATACATGTACTACACTATACAAACTATGAGTACGGAAATGAAAAATAGTTTTAATTTTTTTCAGGCAACGCGTACGGCGTGCCTACCTAGGTATGTAACGATTAACCAATAAAATTTCTTTTTTTTTTGGAGTGTCTGATAGTACCTAGCTTAATAGGAATAGTTACTGCAGGTTAGTGGTTTCGTGGAAGCTGTTGCTGTGACGGTGATTGTTTCAAGTTACAATAAAATCGAGTAATTTGCGCAGGTTTGCGGCTATATTGCACACTGTTGAATTAGGAATCTGGCCAGAGCGCAGTCATCGTCCAGTCTTCGCACCGGACTATTTTATTATTATTATTATTCCTTAGACACCATAATAATAATATTATCATACCGACAGCATGCAACAGCAGTTGTCAACGACCCGTAGTGTGCGTCGTCTCAGTATATATGTATAAACGAGTGTAGTGTGTGACGGTTTTGTGGTGTTACTGGTTACGCCGCATGGACGTTTTAGACAAAATTCTATGGTTAATATTTATCAGAATTATATTATTATATATAGATTTAATGATTATTAATTATTAAATACTATATACATTTTTTGAATTTTTTTTTTTTTTTGGTAAAATATGATTGAATAGAAATGTTTTTATCAATTTGAATTGTTATTTAAATTAACAATACAATTGCGGACGTAGTTGAACTGTACAAAAAATATCAGCAATCACGTTACAGATGCACTTGCACAATTAAAAAGGTAGTTTTAAAAACAAGACGCATTCGAGCATAGTCCGGTGCGCGCATAGTTATACATATCATAATAACATTAATAACACATTGATAAAAAAATCTTTATCTCCTATGTTAGTTGTATATAAACTAAGATAATAATGATAATGTTATTTCGTAATAAAAACTATCATACAAATTTATTTTATCGTAAACTGAGGTAACTAACGACGGACGTGCAACGTATGAGTCGTATGACTAAAAAATATGAGTATGAAGTTTTAAATATAATGTAATTATTCGTATACTCTTAACATGCATTTTATACACGCGTACCTATTATTGCGTTATATACACAACAGTTGCACCGAGAAGTGCATTCAAAATTGTTTTGGAGTAATCGGTAAATACGCTTAAATTTTGTTCTCACCGCCCGCGAACATGACCAAATTATGCCACTGATATTATACAATAATCATGTCAATCCTTAACTATAGGTATCTACTTCGAATAGGTGCGTATATTATATTATTATAAGTATAACTAATCCTACGAGATTTATGCGCATATTGAAGTTTATTAATTTAAATCGTATACGTAACATTATAAACTCTGAGTCTTATTATGTGTGTCTAATAATGTGTGACAACAACGCATTATTCTTTGGATTCCCTTACCTGACGTCGTCGGTTACGCGTGCAGCCGGCGGCGGCAGCAGCGGCGGCGGCGACAACTGTTGCTGTTGCTGATCGTCTGTGCAGATCTCGGCCGCGGTCTTGGTGTACGTGTCCTGTCTGTTCAGCACTTTCCGGTTGAATTCCGGCGTGGCGGGCTTGAGGCGCGGTATCTTGGACGTGACCGGCGGCGACGTCGTGTCCGCGACACCGGCCGCCGTGTAATGATGGAACGAATTGCTTCGTCGGCCGATCGTCGCGTAATTAGCCCGGGCGGCCGCGGCTTCCGTCGGATTGACCCGGACGGCCGCCGCGACTTCCGTCGGATTGACTCGAACGGCCGCCGCGGCCTCAGTCGGATTGACCCGGACGGCCGCGACTTCCGTTTGCGTGGTGCGATCGCGGCCGCTGCAATCGTCTCTGGCGTCCGTCTGAGTGGCGCGCGGCACCGCGGCAGGTTTCGCGTCCGTTGTCGCGTCGACCGAACACCCGACGTGCTTGAGAGTCGGTTTTGCGACCACGCTGGCGTCGTACATCCGCGGCCTAGCCGTCACGCCTACCGCGACCGTCCTGACGGCCGTCGGTCTGGAAGACTGCGTGCCGACGTTTACCGTCGTTGGCGCCGGCGTCGCGGCCACCGCCACGGCGGCCGGCCGGACGTCGGCGACCGCTGCGGTTTGAGTGCACGTCACCGAGGTGGCTGGCTTTACGGCGTCCTTGGTCTGGGTGTACGCCGCCGTTGTGGTCGGCTTGGTGGCCGGGTCCGTCTGGGTGTGCACGGCCGCCCCGGACGGAGGCCGTTCCGTCATCGTGGACGTGTTCACGGACGTGGCCGACGGTGTCGTCACTCCCACGTCCCGGCACATGGGCACACAGTTGACGCCCACCTCTTTGGTGGAAACGGCTGTGCGCCTGTTGGTCGGAAACGCCGACAGGGACCATCCGCCACCGACTGGAAACGAATAATCATGTAAATTAAGTATAAAATAATATTAATATTCTGGATTAGTTATTAGGCCGGAGTCCGGTCTAGAGATCCGTCATAATATTAAGTGCCGGGGAGGAGGTACCACGAATCTTTTTTTTTTTTAGTTTTTGCTTTATCATATTCCACTCAAACTTTAAATAGATATCGAATATTTATGATTTAATCGAAATTTTATCAACATTTTGAGTCGAACTAAAGTCATTGAGCAAAACCATAGAGTGTCGAAAAAAATCTAATTTAAAGTATGCCACACACGCAAGTGTTGATGCTGTATTGCTGTTCAATAAACGCACAATAAAGTGAATTTTTCTTCAGCAATTTTATGTAGTTAAATCTTTTTTTCAATATAGAGGGAATTGACCTATTATCAAATTTAATGGTCAGAAAACTATTCGTGACTGTCGTGGAGTTTTTAAAATATTTTAATTTTTAAGTGAGTTACAAATAGGTAAAACTTAACATAAAAACTCTTATGACTTGTTGCTTAGAAATTTAATGATGTAAAAAACTATAGAAAAAATGTGGATAATGTTGTTATTAACGTTACGTTAAATTTTGATAATAGATAAAATTTTCTATAATGGTTAAAATTTACTGTACAAAACTATTTTACGCAAAATATAAATGTGCTATGTTTTACATTTGTAGGACAAAAACAACACATACAAGTGTGACGATCAACAATTAAAGCGATTAACATTAAGTGATATTATCCGATTAAAATATTAATTATGTATTTTGTTGAAATTTATTTTACATATGTAGCGAAAAAATAATAATTTATTTATATACTATATTACATTTAACAAAAAAACTTCAATACGTATTTATGGGTGATAAAAAGTTCTGAATTTGTATGTATAGGTAAATATAATTATGTATAACTTCGACATTTGTAGTATTTTAAAACAATAAAACATAATAAGAAATGATTTTAATTTTAAATTTTAGTTAATATCTGTTTACATATATGCACTATGAACACCATATTGTTTATGATATGAGAATTTCTTTAGAATTGGTACTTATAGTTTTTATTTTAGACATATATTCAAAGGCATGCGAAATATATAGTCTACGCATAAAAAGAAAAGTTTTCCAAGGACTCGATACATTATATATTGTACAATATTTTACGGTGAGATCGTACGGTGAGTTATTGTCCTGTATACGTCAAATTTTTTTAATTGTTTTAAAATGTAATAACGCATCATACACACACATGCCCCTGCCATCTACTCGTTTGTCTGCAAACAGCTAATACGATTTTATGTGTTTACATGTGTATAATGAAAAATTGAAAAAAAAATATGTACCATACTCGGAGTGTAGTCCCGAGACACGTTATTCTTTGTTCCGTGTTAATTATTTATAGTCATCTTGCCTATACCACCATCATGACGTTATACTCTGCGACGTTCGTGCTCTGAGGACGCGTGTGATCCGTATGCGTGCAGCTTCCCCCCACACCTTCTCATTGTACCTACCTACTTATTTTGAGATATATAGTATACAGTCATTCCGTTCTTTTTCGAAAACTACTAATCCAACAACCGTCGCGCCAATTTACATATCATACAATAATTACATAGTACATATTATTACTTACATATTTAAACTTTTTTAAATTGGTATGTATACTAGTGTAACCCTCTGGCCTATACTATCTTGGGTTTTGTACATTGTACTACATGCCTATAAGCAACCACTAAATTTATAAGTATAAAAATGTAGTAAAATTCGTCAAAATCGATAAAAAATTTAAATTAATTCATAGAAAATTTTTATTTTAATGTAAACATAGTATAAAACTGTTAGTTTCAAAAATTTCAATTTAGAAATGCCTACATAAAAATCAATGCAATACATTATAGTACTGTAAAATTGAAAAACAAATAGTTTTTTTATATTTTGAATTCTAGATCTTTATGGAATAGTTTGAAAGTTGAAAAAATGGCAAAATAAGAATTATAGAAAAAGATAAATTGAAGGTTAGTAAGGAATAGGGATACAAATTAAAATTCATAGTTTTTAGTTTTAAAACCATTTGCTTGAAAATTTAATACGAGACTCTGAAAACTTTGAAATAAAATCGTAGTCTTGAGTATAATAAATCAAGTGTTTACAAATAGTTTTAAAGAATTTAGTATATATGATTTATAATTTACGACTTTAAACTAAACTTTTCGTTATTTTTTAAATAATGCAATATATTCATCTTTTATTATTTAAGAATACTAATTTATACATTTTTTTTTAACTATAAATTTAAATATATTACACTAGTTTTTACCATTTTATAGAAACTTTGAATTTTAGAATTTCAAAAATAATTAGAAATTATTATTTTCCCTAGCTTTTTTACGAAACTCAACACTATTTAATTTTATGCTTTTTTTCTTACTCATATTGATTGAAAAAGGAACTTTATAAGTAAATATTAAGTCCGTTTAATTTATTTTTAGTCAATCTGATTTGACGAGACTACGACTACGAGGCGAAACATTGCTTGGTAGCATACAAATAAATCATTTTAAGCTATTTATACTATTTAATAATCCGAAGATTAGAATACAGGGAATACAAAAAACATGATAATTTGTCAATGTATGTACTGCTGTAATATATTGTATACAACTTATACTCGAAAATAATACGAATGAAAATAAAAGTGTGTCGGTCCGAGTGCTATTATATATTTATATGGTCATTTCAATAATACACTAAACACTCACTGGCGTAATAACTTTGCGGTAGGCGATATTTATTGACTAAATTATACTATTATTATTATTTTTATTTAAATTTTTCAATAATTAACAATTCTTCCTAAATATTAAAAGCTCGTAAGTTTGAAAACTTAAAAAATTTTTTTTTGTCGTCAAACAATTTTGCCGCTCAGGGCAGCTAACCCTTTATCTTCTCTTAACCCCCGGCACAGTAAATAATATATAAAGGCTGAGTGTCTAAGTTATCAAATATTTCGCTCCCAGTTCTTAAATAATTTTGTTATATTTCAACCAATCAAACAAAAAACTTAATAAAGGTACGTAATATAAAGTTTTTTATTATTCATTTATTTTTCTGTAAGAACAAAAATTTAGTTATAAAATAATATTAATAATCATAAGATATTATGATCTTTTATTGGAAATGAATTTATTAATATATAATATATATTGTTAGCATTAATCTTGTGTGGGGAGCGTAATTACATTCGGTAATGTTTTATTATATTAGGATGACCTTCAAAATCTAAAATCCTATTCAAATTGCGTAGGTATAGTAATTTCGGCAAGCATACAACATTGCCATGCAAATCCAAACCAAGCCCATCTAGGTACTAAAAATGTATATTTGTGCTAAAACACTTACTCGTTGCATATTTATTTGTGCTCTCCGATTTCTTGTATTTGTCTAATTCTGAGGATAAGCGTTGTTTCTCCAAATTCAACGAGGAAACCTGCGCCTGTTTTATACATACAATACAAATTTAATATTTTATTATGCATATTGTATTTCTTTAAGGTATCACCTACACAGAAATGTAAAATATGTATACCTCTTAAAATCCCAAAGCAAAATAACTTATAACGTACGTGTAAAAAATAAAAATAATAAGCAGTTATAACTGTAATGAATCTCACACATACATGAATTTATATTTTAGTTTAATTAAATGTCATATTACTATTATTATATTTTAAACTCGACACGTTAGAAATATAATATTGGACGTTGTTTACGTAAGAAATTTACTGAAAATACTTTGCAGCACGAAATATCCAATTACTTTAATTAACATGTTAAAAAACAGATTCGAGTATTTTTTTTCTTTAATAAATGTGTTAATTAAAAATAATTTTGTTTGACAGTGTGGAATCGTTTTAAAATGTATTTCACTCATAAAGTATATCAGGCTAGAAATACGCTAGATTTGAAATTGTATCCCTGAATGCAATCGGAGACCTTTGTTTTCCAACGACACGCAACAAAACCGTCATCGATTTGTATTACTTGTTAACACGTTCACAATGCTCACGACAATTAATTTTAGTACTAACATGTAATTTAAGTGTATTGATAGTAATTATGGATTAAATAATATAAGTATTACCTTAAGCATAGGCACCAGTTTAACTTGTTCTTCTAAATCTTTGATAATCTCCAAACTCTTCACCATTTGTTCCCTGATGAGCTGTGAAGACCGTGGTGTTTAATACATTAATGTTATTCTATACAAATGCATAATTTATGAGTACAAACTTACTTGGAGTTCGTTATAAGTGTTTGGAGACCGATGCATGGACTGATCAGGCTTGGTCGAATAACCACTACTGCCAGTTGTATTGCTCTCAAAGCTACTATCGAGCTTATTGAAATTCGATTCATCACCTTCAACTAAAATTCAAATTTCCAATAACAAATTGCTTCACAGAAATTTGATCTTGTTTTCTCACATACCTAAGTTTTGATTGGAAAATCCTCTAGGTGGCGGAACGATAGAGTTTGATTGAAATGCCAACTCGAGCGTCTCTTCAAAGTCCATTAAAGCTCTATCTAAAGAGTCTTGTACGTCCGGGGACGCTCTCGTAACAGCCTCGGAATTCTTAACAAAACAGTTTTTTATAAATATTTATTTATTAAAAGCAAATGTAAAATATATGTCGTATCTGCTTAAAACAAAATTCAAGTGAAAACAAATAAATTGTTTACATCTATAAAAATAATGATAGCATTAATAATTACAATTGATTAACTATTGACAAGCTATAAACTGTATACAGATTTAAATACAATTTAAATTATTAAAAATGATAACTTCAGCTAAAACGGAATAGATAAAATTTTAATCAGTTATTATTTATAAAATTATATGTAAATCCTTATTAAACGTTTTGAAAATAATTGTTTCAGCAGAATAAATTTAAAAAAAATTATCATATTTGCTAAACTATATTATAATTATAACTATTTATTTTAAACTAAATGTTAGATAGCTAAATATTAATTATTAAGCCTTTTATAATTCAAATGCTACTTTTTAAATACCATAGATTTTCAATGAATATAGTCTTAACATTGAAAACTTAATGATAATAATGTTTCAAGTAGAGTGTAATTATATTATGCTACATTAATATCAACTTATCGAGTAGAGATTCATTGTATTTTATCACCTTGTTTACATTTATGTTTTCTTTTAACTTCACATCTTAATCATCTTTTTTTTTTTAACAAGAACTTATTATTATACTTTAGTGAATTTATTGGCCATAATATTATAAATAAAATATATAAAGTATTAATGTAATAGGTGAAACTGATGTAGAAACTTAAAACATGAATTACACAAATCATACTCGTAAATTATACAAACTTAAAGAATCTGATCGAAAAATGACTGTTCAAAATAAATGCTCCAAGCACTAAAGTTTCAATCAATTGAAAATATGATCTATATTATATTTCATGATAAGTATTTTATAAATATGTTATTTTTTTTCAATTGTTTACCAGTTACTCACATAAAAATGACATAATATTTACGCAGAAGTAAAATTATTAAAAATATACTTAACATTTTATAATTGACCATTACTCTCTATTTTATGATAATAAAGTTATCAGCTTAAAATAGCTTATTATTTAATAACCGTTTAGCTTTAAACAACAGTTAATAAAATATAATAATTAATTATATCTTCAAATTTATCTATTCAATTTTGTAAAATTAAATAATTTTTCAAATTTAATTTATTCCTACTTTAAAAAATGAAGATTTGATATTTTAAAATAAAGAAAATAAAGTTTTACTTATATATATAATATACGAGTACAATATAATATAATCTATATAGGCGTATAGGTATAATGTATTATGTTTAAACATTTAATCGTTCAGTTATGTGTAAATACTCGTATAATCATATTTGTATGTGCAAAAACTGAAATTTTTAAAAATATGACGTTCCACTTCCACAAATTTCATAAATTTATAATAAACCGATTTCAACTTAATATTTGAATATAATACGTTTATTTACCATCATTGCGCTTAAATGTTTAAAATAATTTATCCATAATGAGTACCTAATATTGAGTTAGATTAGTAAAATGAGAAAAATGCTCAACAGTCATAGTATCTGTAATCGACCTACCTTTTTTTTTCACAAATGTGTAACAATATTTCAATACAGTATTCTCATAAGTAATTCTAAGTTTATATTTTAGTAGTATACGCTATGTACATTTATTGTATCTATAGCCGCAGCCATTTTAACGGAATCTCTATGTTATCATATTTGTTCTATTCTTTGAATTATTATTGCATACACTATCCGGTACTGTACTTATATGTCACGTACCAGATGTTTGCCGTTTAAGTTTTCATCGCTCAAACCCAACAGTGATTCCATTGACTTGAGCTGTCTTCGGCGGTCCGGTACTCTCCCGTCGGTAATAGTGGAAATCCGGTGCCTCTTAACTGGTGAAAGAGGGCGGATCCTATGGTGGTAATCAAACTCCGAGTAACCTCGGTCATGGTTACCGTTTGACCGCAGCCAGTCTTGTATTTGAAAAGTATCGTCTGCGTGGGGGCAAAAACAATTAAAACCGGTTAAAAAAAATATATATAAAGGAAAATAAAAAAGAATGAACGCCGAGATGACTCGACGGGAGAGAGAGTAACAATAATAATAATGGTCACGGATTGCTGGGCACTTCAACTTCAAAACGGATGGACGCTAAGACATACGGAATGCGTCTTATGTACTCACGTAAAACTGGTCTTCACAACGTCGAATTCCTTTACGATGTTACGTTATGCTCGTGTAAATGCTATTTCTAACTAGATCCAATGATATTATATAAAAAAACCTAATAATCAAATTGCACTTCCCTACACACAGTTTTTCTCAAATTATTTGAGCAATTTATAACATGCCTTGTATGTTTTTGTATTACGCTAGGCATTTTTAACTCTTTAGTATAATTTTTATGATATTTTGACATTTGCATATTATAGTTATGAGATTTATCCTATTGATTTTTGTTTTTACACAAAGCAATAATGTAGATTTTCTCAAGATATAAGAGTTATGTATGTATATTGTATATATCTATATTCTATATAATACATATTGAATACCTAAATTTTAAAACTAAAAATGCTAGTAATAATTGATTTAACCTAAAAACTTTACGACTTAAATAGCATAAAAATATAGCCGAAAGTAATAGACCATAAAAAACGAAATGTCGAGTAGTTGTCATAAATTTATATTATTGAACTGTGATATCGTAAAAATGAGTAATTTGAATCGTTCAATTAGTCGAATGTTTGTGTATTTCAAATTACCTATACATTTGCACTTCCAAAAAATTATATTAAGATAAATTAGACCTATATTAGATAGGTACTTACTATACATTACGTCATATTTTAACCAAGGGCATATAGACATATATAGTAAATATATTGTGATTAATTCGATTAACTTCGTCTCCACAATATACGTTATTGGATGGTTGAGATGAGAAACAACAATAAGGATCGATGGCTTTCTTTCCTGTCGTAGAGACGTAGAGTCAAGGACAATTATTATTGGACTAATTTGACAATAAATTCTCGCCAAGCAAAATCGATATTATAGGCAAGTAGGTACCTGTTAGGACATTGTATATTTGTATGAACTATTTTCGATAACTCAATGATATTTGTTACGTATTATGGTTTGTTATGAATTTTGTATTGTTAAATAATATTAGGACAAATTTAAAAGTTATGATAAAAAACTAGAGCAATCACTTAGCTCTTTAGTAGGCTTCTAGTGTAGGTACCAAGTTATTTAATTATTTTAACTGATCACTATAATGATTAATGGATATGTTAAACTCGAATAAAATTATTTATTTTATCAATGTATATGAAAAGCGATTCTGAGCGCAGACCGTCTCTATATTTTTATAATTTATTTATATTACTATAAGGAATTTATTTTTCTATAATTAATACGGCAGATTGAACCAAATTACTAAATTTTGCAATATTTTTAAAGAAAAAAATATTTATTATTGCTATTAACCTATAAGTAAATATCAACGTACCACATATGTATAACGATGTGAAAAATTTAATTCGTGATATATTACAAATAGTTTAAATATTTTGTAAATTTAATTAATTAATAAAATAAAATAATATGGTAATGAAAAAAAGTGTACTTTTAATTAAAACAAAATAACTATAATCGTTTTAAAAAAAATTATATTATATATTATACAAGGTTTAAATAATGTTAAAGATGTTATGTTATGGTTATTAACTACAAAATACTTTTCAAATTTTGTCCAAAATTGAGTTTCAAAAACAAAAGAGGAATTTTGAAATCAAGATTTTAATTTAGAAAATAAAATATATTAAGCATAAATAAAAAAAAAACTAAAATTCTAATATTTTTCAAATGTTTAAAAATAACAAGAACACAAAAATATTTTTATCAAGTTTACAAAATAATTAATATATCAAAATGTTTGTTAAGTATTCTACTATTTTTATTGATTTTTTCCTGATAATTTTTGAGATTACTGAAAATATTTTAATCTTTGCTGAAAGTTCTACCTATATCAACTTTCTACTAAAAAGTATTCTCAAAGTTGATTTTTATCTTGCTTCAACATTATGATAAAATCAAAAGTATTAATAATTTAATAAAAAAAAGAACAATAATGTAAACTATTATATTCAACACAAATCTAAACATAATCATATTTGTCATTATAATATAATCTAAAAGTTAAGGATTTAAAAAAATAGCATTAGCCACATATTTATACAAGAATACGAAAATATCTTTAAAAAAACTTAAATATAATTAATACATATTTTTCATAAAAAATAAAATATTTTTTAATGTGTTTTTATAATGAATTTAATGATACTTTCTCGTACATAGTAATCACTCATTATTTCTCTCTATGTATAAATTGATAGATATATATTAACGTTTTTGAAATATTTTTCTTTTTTTTGAACGATTGTACATTTTTAATTTCATACTCTGAAATAGAATATTTTATAGTAATTTTGATTTTAAAAATCTAATTTAGTATGAGTAATACATTTGATGTAAAAGTTTTATCAAAACCTTTGATAAGCGTTAAGTGGAATCAAAATATCAGTTTCCACATGCCTAGATTTTAAGGAGCTTCAATAATTTTTTTCCACTTATTTAAAAATGTCATCTTTCAGAATTTACAAACAAGTTATTTGATAATAAACAATAAAAAAAAAACAAATTGTACTATAATACTTTGGTAGGTACATTATATAATTTATACAATCATCCAAATTATGGTTCATATTAAGTTAGGTTTTAGTACACATGGTATGTGCTACACATTTATTAAGTTTTAACGACATTGATTAATAGCACTTAATAACATTTAGTGTAATTGTATAATAAACCTATTGGTAAGAAACGAATTAATCTGATATAGACAATTAAATTTTATAAAATAATAATAAAAATAAATATTATGTCAAACGTGTGTAAGATATAATTATTATCAAAGATCAATAATGTTATTATTACGTATAGCTAAACATCTGTTCGAGAGATACTTATCACAACTATACCATTTTACAAGTTATAGGTAATTTAAGAAAAAATTTAAAGGATGCAGTCAATTAATTTTGCATTTTATTATGATTTGTTTATTAAATAATTAAATTAAAACAATTTTATATTTTATGTAATTTTACTTAACGTCGTACTTTATAAAGTAATATGTAATTACTGAATTGGTTAAAAATATAACTTCTAATAATCAGACCTAAATAAATTATTACTGTACTATTGATGTCAACCGCAGTTTTTTTATGAGGGTGTCATTTATTAAAAAACAAATTATTGTTTATCTGATAATAATTAATATCATCTTCATAGATCGATTCAAAACATTTTTACGTGGGTAGAGAATTCATTTTTTTTGTTAAATATTTTATAATTAAAAATATATTACATGTTTGTATTAAGAAATGAAAACCAAGCAATAAATTATGGATTAACAATACAACGTGTTATCAATTCATTATTTCCTACTCAAACAACTGATTTCAAGCTACAGTTATTACATTAATATTTTGACGTGTAGGATAATGTATAAATTATACATAACAAAGATTTTATGTATCAGAATGAAGTGTTACATTCTTATAAAACACGGTTATTTTATACATGTAGCTCATGACTAATATATGTGATTATTTTTTAGACTTAGACAAATGTGATTTATATTTATATTTATTCCTATTATAACATTACTATAATTTATGAATACAAAAAACGATCAGATATTGAAATATGTATTGTATAATATTGAAATAATTAGATTGAATAACAATAATAAAGAAATAACAACATTTCATGTTCGATAATAAATACTAAATGCGTATAAAATATTTAAATATATATTTAACAATACTTTTATAATATTGCTATATTAATTTAATTAATTTATATTTTATACATTTATTTATAATTAAAAATGGACAAATATTTTCTGAAATTTTAATAAAGACTTATTAAAACTTTTTATCAGTTATAAATTTATAGCAATAATTAATATTACTTTTAATATATAATATACATTTTATACGTCTATACTTTAAAATCCGATTTATACAGTGTTTTTTAAAAACCTTTATGTACATAAAAGGATATAGTTAGTTTTTTTTTTAATTTTAAAATAGGTAATTAAATATAATAAGACATTATTTACAATAACCAAATCACAATACAAGTATAATTTATTTAGTTTAAGATATCATTTTTTCATCATATAACAGTTTATAACTTTTTATACTGTTGCGTCAATTGTCAATTTTACGACACTGTAGTCGTTGTTTAATAAATCCACTGAATAGTGGCCACTGGCCAACTTGAATGATAATTATTTATCTTCGTGAGAAGTAAATTTATTTTGCACTAAATTCTTACTTAATATTAATATTTAAACTTATTGTATTAATGTTTAGAAAATTCAAGCTTAAATGTTATTAAACATTTTTAAAAATAAATGCAATACTAACTCTTTGAACCAAAAAAAAACGTAATTACCAAATCTATAAAATGTATAGGTTTTCCACTATTTTCTAATTCTAAAATAATTATTGATTTCTATAAATTAATTAAATGAAATTAATCAGTTCCTTCACAAAATTAATGTCGAAACACAATGTAGATAATGGCTTTTAAATGTTCTACAAACGATTGATATAGACTCATATCTCAATACTGTAGTACAAATATTAGGTATCTGTGTTAATATTTCACATCTTTGAAAATTAAAAGTTAAAATTATTTGATAGAATCAATGTACAAATATAATATTATTTTTACTAAAATAAAATATACCTGCACCAATCCCACAAATTAAAAAATTTAAACACATTCTACTGCAATTAATTTGTAGATATTTTAGCCCATATATCATAATAGTTTATGCTTATAATCTAAATGTTCACAAGAGCAGTCATTGAACCGAAATCGAAATGATTAAAAAAATTATTCACTAGCAGGACAT